CATGCAAATAAACTTAAATTTGATGGTATTTCCTTTCCGGTTAAAATTTCTGACATAGCAAAAGTAGAGAAATTAAATGATATTAGTATTAATGTTTTTGGGTTAGAATATAATAAAGAAAAACGATGTAATTCTATAGTAGGTCCATTATTTTTAACAAAGTGTCGTAAAGATAGACATATCAATTTATTATTTTTTTCTAAGGATACAAAAAATCATTATTGCTATATAAAAAATTTATCGCGGTTAGTTAGTAAACAAATTTCAAAAGACGGTCACATCATGTACATTTGTGAAGCATGTCTACTTCGTTTTCCATCTCAGGAAAGGTTAAATAACCATGAACAATACGATTGTGCCCACATTTGTACAGTATTACCAAACAGTGAAACTTTAAAAAAAAAGAATTGGTTTGGTCAACCTATTTCAAATGATAAAATTAAATTTGATAGTTATGAAAAAAAGTTAAAGATACCATTCGTAGTTTATGCTGATTTTGAAGCATTTTTAAAACCAATAGAATCATGTTCTAACGATCCTTCCAAACCTTTCACTCATAATATTCAGAAACATGAAGTACATAGTTTTGGATATTATATAAAATGTTCATATGATGATAAATTATCAAAATATGTAACAAACATATTGCGGACCCAACTGTGCACAAGTGTTTATGGAAAGTTTATTTAACAATCTAAAAGAAATAAATAGACTTCAAAAATATCCACCACTTCCGCTAACAAATGAAGACAAAAACCAAATTTCAAATGCAACCATTTGTCATATTTGTGAAACTGAGTTGGCAAAACATTTTTATGATTTTGATTGGTACACTGGTAGTTTTATAGGTGTTGCTCATGAATCATGTTGTTCGAAGATCAGAACACCTCGTTATATACCAATATTTTTACACAACCTTAGTCACTATGATGCTCATTTTATTGTTCACGCGTTAAACTTTTGTGATGGTGAAGTCGAAGTTATCCCTCAAAATAAAGAAAAATATATATCCTTTTCCAAAAAATTAAAAGTGAATAACCACGAAATTATATTGAGATTCTTAGATTCATTTAAGTTTTTATCGTGTAAATTAGAAGAATTGGCCAAAAATCTCAGTAATGATCAATTTCAAGAATTACGTAGAAATTACCCTAATGATGAAGATTTCTTTCGTTTAAAACGGAAAGGTGTTTATCCATATGAACTTATGACTAATTATGATAGTTTAAGTCTAACATCGCTCCCTGAACAAAAATGTTTTTATAGTTCACTCACAGATTCACATATTTCAAATGATGATTACAATCATGCTAAAGATGTTTGGGAACATTTTGGGTGTTGTAATATGCTAGATTATTCAAACCTGTATTTAAAAACAGACATTTTACTTTTATCCGATGTATTTGAAAACTTTAGAAAGTTATGTATTAATACATATGATTTAGACCCTGTCCATTATTACACAGCACCCGGTTTAAGTTGGGATGCAATGTTAAAATATACAAAAATACAATTAGAACTTTTAACAGATTATGAGAAAATTGCATTTATTAGATCAGGTATCAGAGGTGGTGTATCTCAATGTAGTAATCGTTATGCTAGAGCTAATAACAAATACATGGAGGATTATGATACAGGGAAACCAAATTCATATATCACATATTTTGATGCCAACAATTTATATGGTTGGGCTATGTCTCAATATCTTCCTACTGGTGGATTCGAATGGGTAAATCCAAATACAGAATTTAATGTGTCTAAGACATCAGACTTCGGTTTTATTTTAGAAGTTGATTTGGAATATCCAGATGAACTTCATGATTTACATTCGGACTTTCCTTTATGTCCAGAAAACATTTGTGTAGGCAATATTAATGAGAATAAACTAGTCCCAAATTTAAATAATAAAGATAAATATGTAATTCATTACAGAAATTTAAAGCAGTGCATAGAAATGGGGGTTAAATTAACTAAAATTCATAGAGTTTTAAAATTTAAACAGTCTCCCTGGTTGAAGATGTACATAGATCTAAACACAAAATTAAGAACTTTAGCAAAATCAGATTTCGAAAAAGATTTTTATAAATTAATGAATAATTCAGTCTTCGGTAAGACTATGGAGAATATTGAAAAAAGGGTTAACATAAAATTAGTTACGCACTGGGAGAACCAGGGTAAAGCTTTAGGTGCTCAAGATCTAATCGCTAAACCACAATTTCATAGCCTTTCAATATTTTCGGAAAACCTAGTTGCGGTTCAGTTGCGAAAAACGAAGTTAATATATAACAAACCAATTTATTTAGGGTTTTGCATTTTAGATATTTCAAAAACATTAATGTATGATTTTCATTATAACTATATGATTAGAAAGTTTAGTAAAATCAAATTATTGTATACAGATACGGATAGTTTAATATATCATATATTTACAAATGATTTTTACACTGATATAAAACCTGACCTTTCATCATACTTTGATACCTCAGATTATGATACAAATAATATTTTTGAATATCCAAAATTAAATAAAAAGAAATTAGGTTTTTTTAAAGATGAAAATAATGGTAAAATCATGAAAGAATTTGTGGGTTTACGATCCAAAATGTACGCTTTTAACTTAGAGAATAAGACTATAGCCAAGGCAAAAGGGGTAAATAAATGTATCACTAAAAAGATGACAATGAATAGTTATAAGTCTTCTCTATTTAATAAAAAAGTGCAATATTATAGTATGCTTAGATTTAAATCAATTAAACACACAATTTTCACACAAAAATTAAATAAGATAGGTTTATCATATAATGACACAAAGAGACATATTTTAGATAATAATATTGAAACATTAGCTTGGGGTCATTATAAACTGCGTTAAGTGTTGATAGTTTTTACTTTTATGTCTGCGTTTAAGAAAAATTTATATTGATTGTAAAATTATGATAATACTATAATATGACGTAGTTTATTACATATTTAATCATTGTTTTATTGTAAATAATTTAAGTTAATTGTTGTTTCTATTTATTTGAGGTTGAGTTAATTGTAAAATTATGATGTACTAATTGTTGTTTCTATTTATTTGAGGTTGAGTTAATTGTAGAATTATGATGTACTAATTGTGTTAGAAATAGTATACAGATAATTCTGTTTTATATAATTTTTGGAATATATATTAATTGTTTACACCAACACTTTCATTTTTTATTTCACCCCTTTGAACTTTAGACGTGTGTTATGTTTCACTTTATCCATCCGTTCACTGCTATTGTGGCAGGACCAAGTGGGTGTGGGAAGTCAAATTTTGTAACAAATTTCATAAAATCAGTTACAGAAATATGTAATTGTGATTTTAATCAGATCACATGGTGCTTTGATGAAATGCAACCATTATATAATTTACCAAATGTTAACTATCATCAAGGAATTCCAAATCTTAATATGTTTGATGGTGAAAACCCACATCTTGTTATTATTGATGATCTAATGAGAGAGTCCGATGGAAGAATTGTGGATATATTTACAAAAGGTAGTCATCACAGGAATCTTAGTGTATTTTATCTAACACAAAATTTATTTCATCAGGGTAAAGGACAAAGAGACATATCTTTAAACTCAAGTTATATAATATATTTTAAAAACCCTCGAGATAAAACTCAAATAAGATATTTAGCAAGACAAGTATCACCAGATAACCCAAAATTCATTAAAAATGCCTACAGGGATGCAACTCTAGAGGCGCATGGATATTTAATGGTAGATTTAAAACAGAATACCAATGATTTTTGTCGTATCAAGACAAATGTCTTTCCATTTAATGGTTTCTGTACAGTCTACGTCCCCACAAAAGAGTTTAAATACACCAAGAATCAAACAATTGAAATCATTGCTAAATGATGCATCGTCGACTCACAACGTATAAACATTTGCTAACCGCTTTGCATACGCTTAAACCAAAATATCAAAGAGCATTACTTAAAACGTGTGATGAAGAAGAAATTAACTGTATTTGTGAGTGTATTCATAACGTTTTACAAGGAAAAGTACCTCTTAAAGATCAGGATAAACAAAAATTGAATAAACATAAAAACATACTCCGTAAACTAGTACGTAAGTGTAAACATAAACTAAGAAAAAATATAATTATACAAAAAGGAGGGGCTTTCTTACCAACAATATTAGGTGCAATATTGAGTGGATTAGTGAGTGGACTAGCCAGTTAACATGGAAAATGCAAAGAAAATGATACTTATCGAACCTGGATTGATTGAAAAATTAAAACAAGAAAATAAGGTTAATAGTAATTTATCTCGATTAGATATTGAAATGCAAAATATTATGAATAGTAAGACGGAAGACCGAAAGAAATGGATATTATATTTACAAACACTGCAAAGATACCTTCATTTTACCGAAGAGGATCGTCAACCACTCAAATTACCAATTTATTCTGATACATCTAATGAAGATTCAAATGAGTCAAAAATTGGTTTTAAAAATAAAGATAGAGATCTAAAAACTTCAGTTGATATTGAATCTTTGCTGGAGGAGAATCGATCCATTAAAAGTAAAGAAAATGATGAAAATCCACTTTACACACCAGCTCAAATACTCAGTTTAATACCAAAAACTTATCATAAAAAAGGGCAGTTATTATTAAACTTAGTTGAAACAAGTAAAAGTAAAATACATTGGGATAATGAAGGTACAGTCATAATTGATAGTGAAAAAATTCCTGGAAGTAATATTGTTGATTTAATAAATGATTCACTAAGACTCCTAAAAAGAAGTGATCCGGTAGGGTGGGTTAGATTTGCTGAAGCATTAAAAGATATTAAAGTACCACTTACTTATATTGGAAATCCAAGGAGATGTGAGTTTATTAACCAACTTCAAGCAAAAGATCTGAACAAACCCTCTGAGATTGAAGTTCAAGAGTTTTCTACACCGGGCAGTAGAGATAAAAAGTCTACAGCTAAAATACGTAAAGGACTTGAGTGGGAAAAATGGACCCCGTACTAGAAGAAATTAACAGGATTTATTATGATCCATCTAATCCCGCTGGTTTTGGTAGTATTGATAAATTATCAAAAGCCATGAAGGGTAAAATGAATAAAAAGCAAGTAAAGGAATGGTTAAAATCACAAGAAACATACACATTACATAAACCCATTCGAAAAAAATTCCCGAGTAATAGGTACATTCTATCAAATATTAATGAACTGTGGCAAGCTGATTTAAGTGATATGCGAACTTATTCTCAATATAATGATGGTTTCAAGTATATACTTTGTATTATTGATATATTTAGTAAATATGCTTTTGCAAGACCAATGAAAAAGAAAAACTCAGAAACAACTAAAGAATGTTTTGAAAGTATATTTACTGAAAGTAATTTAACACCTACTCACATACAATCCGATAAAGGTACAGAATTTGTTTCAAAAGATGTACAAAAATACTTTAAATCCAAAAAGATTAATTACTATACCACTAACAATCCTGACATTAAGGCTAGTATTGTTGAACGATTTCAAAGAACACTAAAAATGAAAATGTGGCGTTATTTCACTCATAATAATACTTATAGATATATAGATGTTTTACAAGATTTAATATACTCTTATAATCACAGCTTTCACTCTAGTATTAAGATGTGCCCATGTGATGTAAATTCCAACAATATTATGACAGTTTGGACTAATCTTTATGATAGACGGTCAAAAAAACTTTCTTTAGAAAATCCTAAACCAAATTTCAATGTGGGTGATTATGTTCGAATAACTAAATATAAACATGTATTCCAAAAAGGATATGAATCAAATTGGAGTGATGAAATATTTATTATATCTTCAATAATTGATAGATCTCCATGGGTTGTTTATACAATAACAGATTTACAAAATGAACCAATAATTGGTACTTTTTATGAAAGAGAATTACAGAAAATCACTTACAACCCCACCTCACAACATAAAATAGATAAAATAATTGACACTCGTTATTCAGGTAACAGAAAAGAAGTATTAGTGAAGTGGAAAGATTATCCAGATAAATTTAACAGTTGGATTTTAGCTTCTAGTTTAAAAGAAATATGAATAAAGAAAGTTTCTATTTAACTTTGCTCAGCAATAGTTCAATGGAATACTTTCCTGATAACAAGACCACAAATTTTTCAACGAAATTACCAAAAGCTATAAAATTAGAAGGTGAATGGTCGGTTGGAGTTGTCGAGTTTCAATATCCATGTACCATGTTTACTGTTCAAGACCATGAAAATGTTATATACATTACAAAATCTATGTTAATGCCTAATGAAGATAAACCATCCACAGTGTACTACAAAAAACATATTCCAGCTACCAACTATGATAACGTTGAGCATATTTTAAGAGTGTTAAATGGTATCGGAGAGAACTTGAAATTTCGCTATGATGAAATAACAAAATTTGTGTCTATTTCGGTATTGGATAAAAATATAACATCCGTAACATTATCACCCAAATTAAGTTTACAGCTAGGTTATGAACCAAATAAAAATCTCCTAGAGAGAAATTTTGGAAAGTGTCCTGCTAATTTACACTTAGGGTTACCATCTCAACTATTTCTATATTGCGACATTATCGATCCTCAGATTGTGGGTGATGTTATGACTCCTTTATTAAGAGTCATTTCATTAGATCCTACAAAATACATTTATGGTGCAAATAAAATGCACGTTTTCTCTCAACCTCACTACTTACCTGTTATGCGAAGAGAGTTCGATACGTTGGAAATAGTTATAAGATCGAGTACAGGACAAAAAATACCATTCCAGTTTGGAACCGTGTGTATTAAACTACATTTCCGAAAATTATAATAATGAATTCTCTTCGTGATCATCATAAATGTCCATATGAAAATTATTATACACATCAAGCTGGATCAGGAGTTGGAGTAATTTATAAGGGTTCACCATATCAACGCGGTCATGGTATTGGGAGGTTCTTAGGGGGGTTATTCAGATCAGTTTTACCTTTACTTTCAAGTGGTGCTCGAGTGATTGGTAAGGAGGCATTAAGCGCTGGAGTAGGACTTTTATCGGATATGGTTCAAGCCCGTCCTATGGAAGCGTCAATAAAAGATCGTCTAAAGCAAGTTAGTACGAATTTAAAACGAAAGGCTGATGAGAAAATTGATCAATTTAACATGACTGGATCTGGGTATAAAACTAAAAGAAAACGATTGACATCGTTCATTCCACCATTAACTGCTAAAGTGAAAGCTGCGAAAAAACTTTGTCTAAAACCAAAAAATATCAAAGATATATTTTCAAACTAAATATGTCTTTCCTTCATAATCATTCTTGTGAGTGCGTTAAGTCAGAATCGGATTTATTTGCACTACCGTCTACACAAACTAGCATTGAAAATGGATTGTGGATTCATTATAAACCAATTTCATCTCTTGGTGATGGTGGACCTATCGAGTTTCAAGTTCCTGGGACCGGCGATGACTACATAGATTTGTCTCATACATTACTCCACATAAAGGCAAAAGTATTAAATCAAGATTCAACTAACTTGGTATCTACTACAATAGTAGCACCTGTAAATAATTGGCTGCATTCACTTTTTAGTCAACTTGATGTTTATTTAAACCAAAAACTTGTATCACCACCTAATAATACCTATGCATATCGAGCATACATGGAAACCCTTTTAAACTATGCCCCTGCTGCTAAACAATCTCATCTTACTTGTAGTCTTTGGTATGAGGATACAGCAGGAAAAATGGATTCTACAGATGGTAAAAACATAGGATTTGTTAAAAGACAGGAATTGATTAGTGAAAGTAAGGAAATAGAAATGATTGGTCATCTTCACGGTGACATTTTTAACCAAGATAAATTTTTAATTAATGGTGTTGAAATGAGTGTTAAATTGGTTCGATCAAGAGAGAGTTTTAATTTAATTGTTGGGTCAAACGATGTAAAGTTTAAAGTTTGCATTACGGACGCAACTCTTATTGTTCGACGAGCACGAATTAATCCAAGTGTATTACTCGCACATCCAAAAGTTTTAGCTTCTACCACTGCTAAATATCCTATTACTCGAGCTGAAGTAAAAGTTTTAACAATTCCTTCGGGTGTTCAAGGAAAAACTCTTGATAATATATTTTTAGGACAGGTACCGAAAAGATGTATAATTGGATTTGTGAACAATTCTGCATTTAATGGTTCCCTTACTAAAAATCCATTTAACTTTGAAAACTATGGTATTAATTCTTTCAGCTTATATATTGATGGTCAACAAATACCTTCAAAAGCTTTGCAACCATCTTTTAATAATAGCATATTTACATCAGCATATCATACTCTATTCTTGGGAACTGGTATTCACTTTCTTAATGAAGGAAATGGAATCTCTTGTGAACAGTATGGCAAAGGTTACTGTCTATTAGCATTTGACTTAACTCCTGATTTATCAGCTAACTCATCAACTCATTGGAATCTCATAAAGCATGGTAGTGTAAGAATAGAAGTACGATTTGAATCCTCATTAATACAAACAATTAACTGTATAGTTTATGCTGAGTTTGATAATATTATTGAGATAGATAAAAACAGAAATGTTACTGTAGACTATAGTAGTTAAGGTTATAATATGTGTTGTGTGTTAGATTTTATGTGTTATGTGTAATGCATTTTGTGTGTATGTAACTATGTGAAACGTTATAAAATTAAATAAAACAAATTGTATGCAATATATTTTTTTTTATTTCTTTATAAATCTTCTATTTAATCTAATACAAAACACTGTTCGAGTTGAAATTTTACATAAGCACACTGACTAAACCACTGAACATGCTGCTGCCAAGGATCATCATCATCTTCCCAATCTTTTAAACCACCACCACAATGGAAACACTTGGTCCCGTCTGCATGGCCAGTATAAAAGAAACCAGCTTCTGCAAGATCTTCAGGTTTCTGTCGCATAACGAGAGGCCAGTTTTCGAAACTAAGCAAACGGCTAGATTTTGAACTGAAGAATGGATATTCAGCTCTTGAGTACTGCATACTCTTCTCGTTTTCTTCTCCACTCAGTGTTGTAGTTTTGTTATTCAATGATGTGTTTTGTACACGTATGCCACACTCATCTCTTCCTTCCGCTCTTGTCTTCCTGTAATTGAAGTAAACAGAATCACATTCACTAATGATCAGCTAATGACTGTCATTGTTAAAAAAGTATTTTTTAACTTTTTCACTTTCTGCTATTGTCTTTGTTATATTGTATACGAGGGCGTTTGTGTTGTCGTAGATGCTATCCTTATTAGTCTTTACGTAATATTTAATTCTCGTGGAAGCATGTTTCCAATGATCAGTAGTTGGAATCTTGGATAGCTTCTTCATATCGTACATTTCAATTTTGATGAGATGCGTCGCTTGGTCTCCGTCGTCAGAATTAGTAGAAATGTATGATACACCATCTCTAGCGGCTCGTGCTACGGTTGATGATAACAGCTTCCTCTTTTTTATTTTTGATTCAGCTTCAAAAAAATGATCAATCGATTGCGATTTTCTTTTTCCACCATCGCATGTGTTATTATTAATGACGAGGTTATCACTCTCTTCTTGAGGGGAGAGTGGCGAGTAGTAATACTGTTTATAGGTATCTTCATCGAAGCTCAATGATTTCTGCAACAACACAGTTATCATGTTAATATCAATTTGTTAACACTTAATCATAAAAGTTAAAAAAGTTAAAGTTACAGCCTATTAAAGTCCACTGCTGAACATAGGCCTCCTCTCATTTCTGAGAGGGTTTTAGAGCAAGGAAATGTCCGCCGCGCTCCCTCAATGTGTGTTGGCGAACTTCACATGCCTTCGAAATTTTCTCAGACATGCAGGTTTCCTCACGATGTTTTCCTTCACCACCAAGCACGTGGTAATAAGCACTTAAAATTGCGATTAACAATTTAATTGGTGCTGGCGGGGATCGAACCCGGGTCGCGTACTGTGAAATTTACAGCTAGCGCTAACCATCTGAGTTACCACGGCTTAATCATATACATACACAATATTTAAATAAAATAATACACACACATGAAAATAACAGAAAAAAAGTAATTTAGTCAATAGAATAAACACTTACATCCATAGCCTTTGGTGTATTGAAGTAACACAAATGTACTATTGATAGATCCACTGTAGTCAAACGACCGTACACTAACTCGATGACTGCGTCTGTTGGTCTTATATACCACCAGTACGTAAAAATTCTAATCTAAAGTATTTCCGTAATGAGTTGATAATTACTTTATGCGTCAACCAGTTTATCTCACATTTCCGTTGTCTATCTCAACATTTCTTCGTATTGTGTTTTGTTTGGTGATCAATGACTCAAGTACGATTTGTATAACACAAAAATGCAACTTAATATTTAGAAACATATCAGTTTATCTCACATTTCCGTTGCCTATCTCAACATTTCTTCGTATTGTGTTTTGTTTGGTGATCAATGACTCAAGTACGATTTGTATAACACAAAAATGCAATTTAATATTTAGAAATCACTATAATTGACCATTCCTATGTTATTCATTGAGTAGATTGGTACTGTAATAATCTACTAATAGCAGTAATATCATGGATACACTAGATGTACAACAACATCTGAAAAAGATTCACCCCAGTCTAGAAAATAATGTTTATGCAGCTAATAGACTGCCTATGTATACTATATATATAATTTGGATACAGATGATAAACCAGGGTCACATTGGGTAGCTTTATATATCGATACGAATGACGTCGGTCAATATTTTGATTCATATGGACGATCACCTGTACGATATCATCTAGAGTTTTTAAAAAGGAATTGTAAAAGATGGAACTGGAATGTTGATAGGATTCAGAATGAGTGGACTTCAGTTTGTGGCGAATATTGCTTAATGTATTTGCTATATAAGTTTCAGGGATGTTCAATACATAGTTTTACGAGTATATTTACAAGGAACACATTGTACAACGATATTTTAGTGGATGAGATGTTTCGCTCCTATTTTATAGATAATAATTAATAAGATTTTGTATTTTATAAATAAAAATTGTAACAAAATTATGTAATGTGTTTTATTGATGATTCAGATTAGCGTTGTATAATTAGGAACAAAGAAGTATAATACAATAGCACTGATATAGTCGACGCATACGCTGCAATGAAGGTGATTAATGAACAATAGAACAATAGAAATAGGAACAATGGGACGCTAATGACGGTGGAGGCCCTTACCGGATATCAATTAGATATTAGCTAATTGATCTACACATCTCCGGAACCGTGCATTCTACACAAAAATGGACCGCGGATTCGTGATCAGAGCATGCCAAAACTTTTTTTTTTTTTTTTTTAGGATCGGGAGTCGACGAACGTCGTTGAACCACGTCTGACTCAGGTGGTCTAGAAGTGGTACAACTACACTACTGCCGCCATCTCTGGTATGTGTGACCCGAAAATAGAAAGCAATGGCTTATGATCCGTGCGTAATGTGAACGGTTCACTTCGGCCATACAAATATTGGTGGAACCGTCGTACCCCATAAATAATAGCCGTTGCTTCTTTTTGTATTTGAGCATTACGTTTCTCTGCTGAATTTAATGTACGCGACACAAACGATATAGGCTTTTCGATACCGTCAGACCCTACTTGTGATAGAATCGCTCCTAGACCCCTAGGGGAAGCATCTACGGTTAATATGATCTTAGCCCGCGTATCATAATCTGCAAGAACCTAAACGGATAGCATTAGCTTTTTTATATCTTGGAACGCCGTGTCGTGCACGTCGGTCCATTCCCATTTATTTCCTTTTTTTAATAATTCATATAACGGACTGAGAATAGTAGAGGCATTTTTTATGAAATTCCTGTAATAGTTGATTAACCCTAGGAACGACTGCAGTTCATTAATGTTTTTAGGTGTTGGTGCTTCAACCATGGCCTTAACTTTTTCCGGCGATTTCTTTAATCCGTCTTTCGTGATGATGTAACCTAGATAATGAACTTCATTTTGAAAGAAACTACATTTTTCTTTCTGCAGTGTAAGACCTGAATCCTGTAAACGCTTAAGGACCGTTTAGCCTTTCAAGATGTTCTTCTTTATCCTTACCAGTCACTAATATGTCTGTAGCGGACAGCGAGGAGGCCGCCGCCCCGTCGCCCCTTCACACCCCGGTGCGCCCCGTGCACCCCGCACACCGGCAGCAGATCACGCGATGTCGCCGACCAATGAGCGCGCGGCATCGCGGACGACGCTACTCACGACCCGAGACGCTCTCCGGCGAGATATAAGAAGGGCGTCTCGGTCGGTGAGCTGTTCATTTCGGAAGCGGCACTCGAAGAGAAGAAAACAGCAAGAGAAATCAAGAAAATCAAGACTCAAGAAGACTCCATTAAGAAGACTCCCCTCTGTATATAGTGTAATTAATAGTGCCATATTGTAAACAGTTTGAATACAGTATAGTTCGACAGTACCATCTTTTCTTTAAGCAGTTGTCCCTAGCGTACTCAATAATACAGTCCACTGCGATCCCTAACAATGTCATCTAAGAGGCATAAAACCCCTTCTATTCCAGACAGCACACTCGATCGCACGTTGAAAAATAGATGGCGCTGAACACAGACCGAAAACTAGACGTGTAAATCTAAATAACCCCCGATGTGTGTTTATGGTTGTAAGATTTTTTGAATTGTCACTTAGTACAAACTGGTTATATGCCATGGACAAATCGAGTTTGCTGAACTGTTGACCCCCATGGAGTCTTGAAAATAAATCACTAGTAGAGGGAAGTGGACATTTTTCGACCAGTAACTGTTTATTTAACATAGACATATTAGACATAGACATATTCCGAATGTTCAATGGGTTCTAGAATACCTAACCCGACCAACCTATTGATTTCTGCATTGATTTTATTACGCAATGCGAAGGCTAAGGGTCGCGCTTTGCAGAAAACCGGTTGAGCACCATCTTTCAATAATAACTTTACTTTATATTTGTTGAATGTTCCTAACTTATCTGAAAATAGTTCTGTATATTGTTCTTGCAATCTCTTAATCGATAACTCAGAATCTGCGCAATAATTTACCGGTGCTAACTGTAATTTAAACACTGATATGAAATCCCTACCTAGTAACGGCGGGCCTCCGTCGCGGACAACATAAAATACAATTAAATGCGTTTGTCCTGCGTAGCACAGCGGCAACCGACACGTACCGATACATACTATTTTTGAGCCGTTATACGTCATTAGTTGTTTACAAGTACTTGATAACGGTTCATTTCTAAAATATTTTTATTGAACTCTCCTGAAACTACCGTCACCGTCGACCCACTATCTATTTCAAAACGGAACGGCTTTTATTAAGTGGCGAAGCTTGCGAAGTCACTTATTGATTTCACGATGTCTGTCCGTCTGTCAGTCTGTCCCACGATTACCTCGAGAACGGTTTCGAATTTTCAAATTCTGTTTTCAGCAGTCGATTACTGATCACCCAGGCATCTGAACCTCCTATTTTGAAACTGATTGCTCAACGGCAACCGTTAGAAACCGCTACAAAGCTGATTGCTTCGCCACTTTGCTATGCTGTTAGCTTGCT